GAGTTTATTGTCTCACAGTTCTTGAAACTGTTTTGGACTCCAACATTAAATTGCCAGCAGGGTTGATGTCTGGGGAGGCCTCCCTTGGGTTGTCAATGGCTGAGTTCTTGCTTTGTCCTGTCATGGTGAACAGAGAGCCCTCTGGTGTGTCTTCATCTTTTAAGGCCACCAGTCAGCCATATTGGGTTAGCACCACACATTTATGACCTCATTTAACCCAAATTGCCTCCTAAAGACATTGTTTCCAAGTAGAATCAGTCACGTTACAGGTTACAGATGGTTTGGGCCTATGAGTAAGGGGGTGGGAAGACTTCAGTCCACAGCACCGTTGTCAGTATGTAGATGCTACTCAAAACCATGGAGATGGACAGGATTATCAAAGAGAAAATGGAATGGCAAAGGACCTAGTACAAATATTTAGAGCATATTACAAAAAGTATAACACAGCAGCCAGTTGAAAAGTGAATGCCAGGAGTTTCAAGGAGGACATAGTGGACAGTGTCCAATGCTGCTGCCTTAATAGCCATTGTTTTTTCGTAAACAGCAAGGTCACTGGTGGTCTTAGTAATGGTCTCAGTGGGGTCGTAGGGGACGGCACCAGAATGGAGTTGTCTGAGGAATGAGTATAGGTGTAAAAGAGGATTCAAGAGTGGATGATGAGGTTTTTTTCATGTTTGTTTTGAGAGTATTGAGTGAAGGGGCCCGAGAAATAAATGGCATAATAGGTAGAGAGGAGCATGAGACTATGGAAAGTCTTTCCTTGTAATTTCTGTAAGTTCAGAGACTTTGACTAGAATATCTCCCCAGGATTTAGTCACAGCTATGATTTCTTTTAATCTTCTTAAAATCCTCAAAGAACAAGAAGTAGCCTCCTTTTATAGAAGTGAAAACCGAGGCACAGAGCTACTTGGTCAAAGTGGCATTGTGCTAAGGGCTTTATACCCAACATCCTTACCATTCTTCTCATCTTCCTGCACTGAGTTTATGTGTCTGTGTCTAAAATCCATAGCACTGTGCTCAGCAGAGAGCAGGTGCTCAACAGGTTGAGTTACTGCTGTCACCTTTTAGGTGATTAGTGTCTGTGTTGCCTGGAATTCTCTCTCTTGTGCAACAGCAGCTCAGATGGAATAAAGCTTGCAGTTGGACACCTAAGGCAGTGTCACGTTTGTCTGTGATGTACTAGATGTACTTGGGGTCCTTTTATATGAACAGTGTCCGTTAAACGCCAGCATTACAGTGCTGTCTTGTCAAGAAGTCCCTGGGAACTCAGACGACAGAAATGAGGAGGTCTGTGTAGTTCATCCCATGCTCATGGTGGGCCAGATCCTGATTTACTGGGGTGCAAGATGACCGTCCGCGCTATTTTAAAATTTCCCTCCCTGTGTTACCTGAGTGTGTGCAGTTGGCCGCACAGGAGACTTCTCACCTTGCCCCCTTGCTACTGGCAGTTCTGCTGTCTCCTCCCCAGGGGGACTGGCTGGAAACTGCTGTCTCTGTTCCCCCCTACTCCTTTTGAAGCAGCTCTACTTAAAGATGAGATGACTCAAAGTGTGTTTTTACAAACTGAGCTTCTAAAACTAAAATATTAATTAGGTATTTACCTAGGAGATATTAGAGATTTAAAAAAATGATAATATCATACATTACTATGTCCTGTATGAGAAGTAGTCTAAATTCTAATTTGTTTGGATTAGTAATGTAGCCTCATTACCAATTGAGAGAGATACAAGAGCATTAATACAAAGAACTTAGCAGGCCAGGATCCCAGTGTTTGTTGCTGTCTTCATGTGACAGTTTACTAAGATGCTTAACTATAAGAGCCAGGCATGGCGGGGAAAGCCTGTAACCCCAGAAGTCCAGGAAGTTGATGCAGGAGGATCATAAATTGGAGCCCATTCTGGTCAGTTTGGAGACTTAGAGAGGCCCTATCTCAAATTTATTTTTAAAATATTTGAAACTGTTAGTCGATTTTTATTTATCTTATTTCTAAAGTTTTCATTTTTTGCACATTTTCTCAGTTTATAACACATAGCACTATAAAACTAATATATATTATATTTGGATGTTGGATGTTCTCCCAAAAGCCCATATGTTAAAGGTTTGGTCCTCAGAGTGGTCCTTCTGGGAGGTGGTGGAAACTTTCTTTTTCCTTTTTTCTTTATTGGTACATTTTAGGTATACAGTACAGTTCCAGTCATCATTGGGATCTTGTACCTTTACATAATATATTTGGTTCTTATTTTTTCCCCATTCCCCTGACCACCCTTCACCCCCTCCACCCTTCCCTATTTACAGATTTTGTTTCCATTGTTTTCCCTTTCTCTTGTTTTTTCTTTTCCATTCTTAGCTTTCCTCTACCCCTCTTAAATCCCCTACACCTTCAGACATTTTTTCCTATTACACAGTATCAATTATGCATTTTGATTCTTATTTACACTTTTAGTTTATCACACCAGATAAACTATTCAGTATTTACACATGTGTGTCCTATTAATTTCACTTGAGTATGTCCTCAATGTACATCCACTTAGCTATAAATATCTCTAGTTTCTCATTCTTTATGTCT